ACTGTCCCTCAAATATAAGGTAAGCTCAAATGATCTGATGCCTCATTTCTAACTAACTACTCTTTGGAGTCCAACAATTTTATTCCTGACAATTTGTTTCCAAAGAGTCAAAGCAAGCACTTAAAAAGAAAAGGCGTAGGTCCATATAAAGTGGATAAACCAAACTCAAACTCGTTAATAGTGTGTAGCTTATGGGTCCTGCCTGGTGGTGCCAGGGGTTAAGTATCGGCACTACGAAGCTATCTGCAGCCTGAGGGGAGTAGTGGACAAGTCAGGGGTGTGTCAGCTCCCTGGCTGGCTTCCATGGGTTCCATGGATCGAAGCCCTGTGCAGTGGCTGCAGACAGCCTCGCTTTAACCCTCAGTTCTTCTTCCACAACTCACTTACCCAGGCTGGAGTCCAGGCCTGTGCAACTCCAGCCTTCTCTGGCCTTCACGTTTTGTGGTCTCCTCATGGGAAGGGGCGGTGCCTGCCCAGGTGGAGATAATATCACCCTCCCATCATTTTGAAGAAAATTTTATGGAAAAGATGGCAAAAATACATGGTTTCCACATTCACGAGAATGGTTAAATTGAGAAAAACTTAAAAAACAAACAAATCAGGTGCCAAGTCTATGGAACTAATGGAAGTCGCCCCGGCCGCTGGGGGCTTCTGGGGACGGGGAGCACAACACAAGCAACTGCCTGGCAGTATCAACCACGGCTGACACAGGCCACAGGCATTCCCCTTCGCCCCGCAACCCCTTAGGTACACCCAACGGAGATGTAAGCATACGCTCAACAAAAGACACACCTATGCTATTAGCTAATCACACAACAGAATTTGAAAGTTATGGGACCAGAGACGGTACAGACACCCCGCAAGTGTCTGAGTGGTCACAGACTAAGGGCACACCGCCCCGCTATGAGCACGGCGGCGGCAGAGCAGGCGGCGTCAGGGGCACGGCCTGTGGCTCCAACCGCAGACAATTCAAAACAAACACAATTAACCCGTGCGGTGAGGCGCCTGGACTGCTGTGGTCAGGAGCAATGACTGCAAGGGTGGTGGGGGCTGGCTGGAGCGCTGTCCTGTGCCCTTCGCCTGCTGTGTTCCATCTGCGATCACTCCCCGGGCTATACACTCAGGATGTGTGCGTGCTTCTGTGCACGTGTCACAACTTGGGAGGGAAATCCAAAAGAGCAACCAACTACAAAACCTACCTAATACTTCCAGAAAATGGCAATTCCCTGGGTAACCTGGGGAGAAGATCACTTATATCACCTGCCAGCTTTGGGGGCAAAGCTTTCCAGTCTAGAGGGTCTCACAGTAGAAAACAGCAAAGGTATTGATAACTCCCCTCCAAGGGTACTTGAGGTCAGGAAGAAGAGTCTATTTAATAGACCAATCTATTTTTAAGAAAAGAGCAATCAAGAAAGAATATTTCATTAGCAACTTATAATTACTTCCAAATCCCAATCCATGCCACAACCTATTAACACCATTTTAAAAAATGAAGTTTATAAGTCTATGAGCTGTTCTAGTTCCCTTGTGAGACACTAGACATTCAAAAAGTAACACTAGAAAAGGGAGGCATGTGAAGAAACCGTGTTTATTTCTTGGCCCTGGACTGGTTGAAAGAAATGTGGGTGAGAGACCCGTGGGGAGGTGACTATGGCAGTATCAATATTGATTTTGATTTTTCTCTTTCCCTCCCAGACTCGTCTGGCCATTGCTGACCCTTTTCCATGGGTCCCACCAGAAGGTGCTTTAGTCTAGTGGCAGCTTTCAGGCCTTGCTCTGAGCCAGTCCCTTTTGGGTTGACTTTTGCCCACGAGGGGATGGGTCACTTCAGGTGTTTGATTTAGAAATTATATTCTTTGTCTTCCATATTGTATACTCACTGTATTAAAGTTCCTTTTCATTTAAAAAAAAAAGTAACACTAGGTTGGCCAAGTGTTTGATATATGTTAGTTCTTTCCTCACAAAGACACTCATCTGAAATGTTAGTCTTTAAATGGGGGTAAATTTGTAGACAGGGAATGTAAGAAGTCACACTTTGGCACAATAGACTGAAAAAGTTACCCAAATTTTGACTGAAACGCCAACAGTCTTAGGCCGCATCCGCCTCACAGATGTCAGTCGTCTCACAAGAAAGAATACTAGCTAGCCACGAACAGCTTCTGTGAAAAAGACTTCTCTTGGCCCTCCCTGGTGGCGCAGCGGGTTAAAGCGCTGCACTGAGAATCTAAAGCCACTTCCTCATGAGTTCGATTCCCGCCTGCCCCGGAGGAGACCACATGGCGTGGCAGACCTCTCCTGACCCGCCCGCTGCTCCCCTCAGCAGTGTACTTCGTCGATCTGCCTGTTCTGTTCCCCGCTCTGTCTCTGGTGAGGCCTCTCACCGCCCCTGAGCCTCTGGCCTGTACCCCAGTTCTGTATGTACAAATAAATAAATCTTAAAAAAAAAAAAAGACTTCTCTAGAAGCACTGGTAGTAGTATTTGAAAATGTCTAAGTTATGATTGTTTGTAACATTATAGCTGTGATTACCTCCAAATTACCTGAAACTATTTCCCATTTTGCCAGGGAATACATCGAAGGTCTGCAGGGTGAAGTGACATGGATAAGGTCTCAGCACCAGTCAGTGGCAAAGTCAGGATTTGAACCCTGAGGCTAATCTCATCCCAACACCAGGCTGGGAAATCTTTGGCAAGACAGAGCTTCCCCAGGTACAAGGGCAGAAGTCACTAACCAAGCAAGACTGTTGATCCCAAGATGGAGCCTCAAAAGCCCTCTCAGAAGAGATGTCCAGGATATAAACAGTAAGTTAACTTCTGTATAAGGCTGGGGATAAGGAAATCAACATGAGAAAGTAACCAAAGTGATCACCTCTGGGGGGCAAAGGGAGGAAGACAGGGGCTTTGGGGGCCAGGGTGTTTTAACTCTTGAATCATACAAATAATGGATTACCTTTTTCAAACACTGGATTTTAAAAGGGAAAAACCATCAAGTTAGCACCTCTTCTAAGCAATTAAGACAACCCTACTTATACCCACTCTAATATCTAATTTCAACATATCCTTAATACTTCAGTTAGCACACAGGCAGCCAGAGACAAACGATTCACTCATCAAGTACTTCCTGAGCACATTCTAGGTATTCATCAAGGCTCTGGAGAGAGAGGGTGAGAAGCAGACACCCTTACCTTCACAGAACTCACATTCGACTATAAGCAGTAACACATAAAACATATGCAGTGGCGTGGGGCGGGGAGAGTGTTAAAGAGAAATACAGCAAGGAGCCTACGGAGTGCTGAAGTGGGAGAGGATGCTTGGATTTCAGTTATCAAGGCTCTCAGAGATGGTACTGGGTGAATACTTGAAGGAGTGAGGGCGACGGTCACACAGTTCCACTCCACTGCCTGGAGAGGAGCATTCCAGGCAGAAGCGCAAGAAAGACAGGGCCCTGAGGTAGGAGCACCTGCCAGGCTGTTTAAGGGACCTGTCAGGGGCTTGTCTGGCTGGAGCAGCAGAGGCGAGAGTCCTCTCTTAATGTGGGTGATAGGTTCCTGGGAACCTCAACTTTAAGCAAAATGACATATAATAAAAGAAAAAGCAACCTCAGCCACTGCTAAAAGCAACAACACTATCTGGGGACTGGTTTTGCTGTACGTCTTCTCATTTACTGTGCGTTTCCGAGAACCTATCTACGACATTAAGCAAAAACAATGCGGAAGGTGAGCTTGGAGAGGCAAGAAACCCAGTCTGGTAGGGACTGAGAGGTCATGGTGAAGACTCTGGCCTCTGCGCCCCTGGAAGGACCCGAAGAGAGGCACGACACAACCTAGTGTGTTTTCACAGTGTCACATGGCTTCCGCGCTGAGGGCAAGTAAGGAGAACAATGTGACTGGCAACCCCTAGTACAGCCCTTAGTAACCCCCTTACCTGGATTCAAGTGCTTGCATGGCCCCTTCCCTTGGGTATAGGCTGGACTCACTGACTTACTTCTGACAAGGGACAGGCTGTTACTCGCAAGGTAAAGTCACAGGCAAGACAGTGGTTTCAGTCATGGGGGCTCTTTAGCGCCCCTGGGTCCCTCACTCTTGCTCTGGGCTGCAAACTCTTACAGCGAGCGACACAACACGACAAGGCACTGATGTCTCTGGCCAAAAGCCACGAATGCGTGAGCTTGAAGGGATCCTCCCACCACCCTGTCCACAGCCTGACACCTGAGTCAGAAATGCCCGCCTAAGCTAAGTGCTTCCGTCACCTGCCTGTGGAACAATGTGCCACACAGCAGCAGACAACTGAAACAAGCTGTGAGGAGGCGAGGTCGGCAACCTGAGCGAGGGGTGATGGTGGCTGGACCAGAGTGCGAACAATGGAGGTGTAAGAAGTGCTGGAATCGGGATACAATTTGAGAGGCAGGGTTACCTGAGGCTGCAACATGTGAGAGAGAACAGGCTGGAGGAGAGGCCAAAAATGAATCTGAGGGTTTTTTTTTTTTTTCATCTGAGCAGTAAAAAACTGTAATTGCCATTTATAAAGATGAGAAGCTGAGAAGTGAAGGCTGGTATGGGAGTTGGGGGTGGGGCAATTTTTGCCCTCATGGCTCAATCCTGGCCACATTCAGCCTGAGATGAGATGGCTCTGACATTCAAGACGACGAGTAGATGAATGAGTCTGGGGCTTGGGTGCAAAGCTGAACCTTCAGCTTACAGATCGGTAAAGCCGTAAGCCCAGATGAAATCAACGGGGAAATGACTGAGGAAGAAACAAAGAAAGGCCAAGGATTGAGCCCTGGACACGGAGGCAACGAGAGGTCAAGGAGTTAGAGAACATCAGCAAAGGAGAGAGGAGAAGCAGCCAGCATGCTGGAGGAAATCCTGGTCGATGGAGGCATCCCAGAAACCAAACTCAGGGACAGAGAGATCTGCTGCTCCAAGACGGCCGGTAGCCAAGTAAGCGGCATCTTCAACCTCGCATTTCATTAACAGTGGTTTATCTTTGGGATTCCACCTACCTCACTTTCTTGAGTAAAGTCAAGGGCGTCTTCTCCTGACGCCAGCAGTGTGTGGAGAATTCGCTGCTTGACCTGCTCCCACTCGACCAGCATCGACTCTCGGTGGTACTCCTCGGCCATGCCAAATGTCTGTCAGGAAGGAGCAGAGGTGATGAAAACCGAACAGCAAAGTACAGTTTCCCCTAAAGCCTAACAAAAATAAACTCCGCATGACTTAAAGATTTAGACACCAGCACTCATAGCAGGAGTATAATGAACCAGGCGAGAAAATAACAAAAATAATGAACAACCATATACCAGAGACATTTTGTGGGGGTGGAGTGGGGAATGGGATCAAAAACGAGGGGGGGGGAGGGGAAGGGAGGGAAATGCACGGGACTATGGTGGTGGCACAGGGGTGATTTGGTGATGGGAAACCTGCGGGGATTACAATTGAGATGGAAAAAAAAAATGTGCAAAATGATGTAAAAATAAACTTTGTAATAAAAAAAAAAGATTTAGACACCAGACCTGCAGCAATAAAACCCACAGAGGACATAGACAATAGGTTCCACGGTATTAACAATAAAGGTAATTGTGATGACTCAACCCCTATGGCAAGGAATTAAAGACAAAAATACACAAGTGGAGTGACTTTAAGTTTAAAGCTTCTATAGAGTGAAAGAAAATACAAGACAATTAAATAGATACCCTGGTAAATGGGAGAAAATATTTACAATTCAATACATAACAGATGAGGCGTTAATACCTAAGGTGTATAAAAACACATACAATTCAACCATAAAACAGGAGCAGCAGGCATGAACAGACCACTCACCAAAGAGGCTAGCCAGAAGGCCAAGACATCTGAAAAAACACTCATCTTCACTCTGAAGAGATGCAAACTGAACCTACGATGAGGGACCACTCTGGTCTGTGAGAAGGCACAGACTAAAAAGACCCCCAGTAAGTGCTAGAAAAGGTGCGGGGAAAGAGGAACTTTAGGTTGAAGCACCTTTTCTGTGTAGTGGATAAAGTGATGAGTCATAAAAACAATGGAATCCAAAAGGTAATAAGAATGTAAGTAAAAAAAGACAAAAGCAAGATTCCCCTGATTTTATTTTCTTGAGGAACCAGTAACACTGTGCTGGACGGCAGCACCCCGGTGTAAGCGGCGCGGCTCTGGCGGCCAGGCCACCCTAACTGCTCGGCCGCCCTCAGAGGCCGCACAGCTCACCTGTCTGTCTACCGGTGACCACACTGCAGGTGCTGCCAAATAGAGGCCCTTGGAAGGAAAAGCCAAAGGACAGAATTGCTGGCGGGGGGGGCGGGGGGGGGGACATACTGGGCTGGGGGGAGGAGAAAGGATCAAACACCTACTGAGATGTCCCACATCACCACCACTCTTCGGCCCTTCCTTAGCTGGCAGACCAGTTTCCCATCAGCTTGGCCCACTTTTCAAAAAGCCATTTCCATTTACCATCAGATTGGCATGTAACTAGGCAGCACCATGGGAGTAAGTATCGGTAACACCTGCTTTATTTCTGGCAGCAATTTACACAGAAAATACCCACATACACAAGTTCTGGGAAACTTAGAAAAATCACCTAGCCTCTTCCTGCAATTAGAGTGGTTGGCATTTGGACCGATACTTGGAACAATGAAAATGTGAAAACACCAGACAAGCAACAGATGATGGCGAAGGAGGCGGGCTGATCTTCCAAGTTTGATTTTGGTCCACTTACCAACAGAGATCTTTTCCAATGTTTTCTGAAGACACGTGAAGAAATGACAACCACAACGTTAACAAGAGTCTCCTACCTGGTTTTCTTCTGAGAACTAGGCTTAATGGGCCAGTTCCAGTCAGCATGGATTGAAAAACTACCCAGAGAAAAGCCCTTTAGTTAATTCATGACCTTAAACATGAACGCTAATAAGCACTCTGAACATAGACTCTGGAACAGAAAGGGCTATGGGAAAGAGTGGATTCCCTAGATCCAGAAATAGTAGGCAAGTGAACCAATTTCTTCCTACTTGGTGGTCAAACCGGCCAGCTCCTCAGCCTCGAGGAAGAGAAACAGAGAGCCACGTGGCCTGAGGTCGGGGCGGGCAGGAGGTGGGAGCTGCCCGGGAGAAGGCTGCCAGGCCATCTACTTTTGTGCTCGCAACAGTGAGGCTGACTGACCCCGGGACACCACAACATCACAGGAGTTTTTCTTCAGGACAAGATCCCTTGGAAGGGTCCTTTCCTTACAGGAGAGAGGACTAAAGGCAAGTGAAGAAAGCAGACAATGCATCAGAGACACAGTCGATCAGGATGGTGGGGCAGACTTCCAGCCCCGTGTAGGGGTCAGAACAGCAGTGGGAATTAACCATCCACTGCTCATCAGGCTGCCCACCTGCGTGCCAAGAACTCCTGCTTTGCTAACATACGAAGGACTCTGAAAGCTGGCAGTGTTCTGGGCGCAGACCCTCAGCTCTGTGAGAAGGGTGCCAGGCTACTCATTTAGAGCCCCACAACCTGAGTGAACAGCACTGTGGTTCCATTCATCACTGTGTGATAAGGAGCTTCAAATAAAAACAAATGACCCAACATTAAAATTCTCTTCCCTTGACCATGCCACCCACCAGCTTACCTTAATTACATGAGCGGTAATGAACATCCAGTTTGCAGGCTAATCAGGGGTGATCAGCCACCCATCTGCCCCGTTCTAGCCTATTCTCCTTAGACCCATGTCTGAAGCACCAGCTTAGGAGCAAAGAAGAATGTCAACTAGAGGAGCTAATGAGAGAATCAGCCAACCTCGGAAGAATCAGCAAGCTCAACTAGGAACTAAGAAAAGAGGGGGACGGTGAGGATCTGAGGCATGAGGTGGGAGGGAAGAGTTCATGGGACGAGAAGGCAAGGACATGAGGAAGAGCCCTGTGAGAGGGCAGTCTAACAAAGAAAAGGAGGCCCAGCCCAAGCCCTGAACATGCAAGCAGAGGAACGACTACACATTAAATCATGTGTACGTACATGTGGAATCTGCGTCTCCTTGGACACAATTAAGAAAGGAAGGCAGAGAGAGAACTGGGCAGCTGATTGAAGAACAGGCGAGAAGCACTCGAGCCCCGTTTTCGTAAGGGACAAGGGCAATATGCTTTGACTGCACACCCGCTTACGATTGAGCTGTTGCTGGCTTTGAAACTCCACATATGTTCTAATAATGTTGTTCTGTTTTTGCTGGGATGCACCAAACAGAAAAAGACAGGATGCATTTGTGGGTTTGTAGCTTGTTTTCTTGGCATTTCAGCAGGACATTGGCAAGTTATTCAAACATGAAATTGCCACCAAAATGCCAGGACGCCTTTTGTATGAAAATGATTCTTATTCAGTGGCAACCTCCGGTGCCCAGACAGGTGATGGGTGCCCCACCTCCCCCCCGGTTGGCACCCAGCACGGAATGTCTCCCTCACACACATGCACACATTTTGCACTGTGCTATGTCACCTAAGTGTTTTGGCTGGCTGCACATTTAGTCTCAGTGTGGCACAATGTTCAAAGTCTGCCAAGTCAGGAACACATTCCACGGAGTAAATGGATTAATAAGCTCGGTGGCATTCAATAATCCTAATTTAATTTCACTGGTCATTTACAGCAGGAGGATCAATGCTGCTAAGTAACTCAAAGTGTGAACTAAAAAAAAAACCTGAAAAATTCCTTTCTTAAAATATGTTCAGATCTGAATCAAGTGAATTTCTCCATTTCAAGAAATTAGTACTAGTGCCAAAAATGTAATAAATGCTATTGTAAGGATTTTTACTCTGATAATTAAACATACCAGTCATTTAAACAAGGCTTTTGGAACATTTTCTTACGTATTAAAATGGCAAGACCCCTGCTGCCCCGACTCACTCACATCTGCCCCACTGGGGCAGTTTCACCTGAGCAGAACATTTTAATAAAGTTCACTGAGACACAGCACATTTGTAAAGTTTGTTTGAACTGTATTAGTGTACCATAGATAGATTTCACTTGAAACAGGCCCCTTCACCCCACCTCGCCTCTGCAGAGAGGCTCTGCTGGCAGCCTGTTAGAAAGCATCCAGCCTCCTTTTTGGAAAAACTGCATATTCAGAAATCAGTCTACATGACAGCTGACATTCCTCACACTGCAAAAGGCCCAGTGGCCTGAAAATCCCCTCCTCCATCATGGGATGTTTTAGAAAAGTTTTAATCTTTGAATCCTTGTCAGAAATAATTCACATGTTACTAAAGTGAACAATCTTTGCAAATCTTGAGGGAGTTGCAATATTGCTGCACATATATGGTAATGGGGCTCTAGCTGACTCATTTACAATTCTTTGCAGTGTCAAGATAGTGTATATACACACACACACACATATACACACTCCCTGTTTTATATATATACGTATATGTGTGTGTATATATATATTTATATATACTCTTTGTATGTATACATACACACACACTCCTTTTAGGTGTATTCCCCGTAAAAGTCCCACCAAATCACCCATGAATCATCACAATAGTCCCTGGTGTTCTTCTCTCTCTTATTTTGATCCCTCTTCCTGCCCTTCCCTTGCAGAATGTCTCTGACTCATGACTAACTGCTAATTTATTATTATTATTGTTACATATATTTTTTCCTGACCCCTTATTAGGTTCCCTTATAGCCCTCTTATAAGTGAGGCCATCTGATATTTTTCTTCTTCCTTCTGGCTTATGTCACTGAGCACCAACCTTTCAGCTCCATCCATGTTGCTGCAAATGGCATGAGTTTATCCTTTTTGATTGCTGAATAATATTCCTGTGTGTGTGTGTGTGTGTGTGTGTGTGTGTGTGTGTGTGTGTGTGTGTGTTTTCAGTCATCCTTTCTTGATCCAGGCATCTATATTTTTGGGCTTTTGGGCTGTTTTCATGTCTTCGTTATTATAAATAGTGCTGCAATAAACATAGGGCACAGGCATCCTTTTGAATCAGTGTTTTTCTGTCCTTTGGGTAGATCCCTAGGAGTGGAAGTGCTGGGTCATATGGAAGCTCCATTTTTAGCAGGCTGAGGATCCTCCATGCAGCTTTCCATAGTGGTTGGACCAGTTTGCACTCCCACCAGTGGTTCCTTTTTCTCCACAATCTCATCAGCATTTGCTGTTGCATGTTTTTTAATAAGTGCCATTCTCACTGGTGTGAGGTGGTATCTCATTGTGGTTTTGATTTACATTTCCCTGATTATAAATAATATTGGCCATCTGCATTTCTCCCAAAGCAAAGAAAGTAAAGGGAAAATAAACATCTGGGATTAATCAAACTAGCTCTGTACAGCAAAAGAGACATTAACCAAAACAAAGAGACACCCTACTGATTGGCAGGAAAGTTTTGCACACAATACAACGACAAGGGCCTGATCACAAAGATCTACAAAGAGCTCACACCTCTCAACAAAAACAAAATAAATAACCTCGTCAAAAAAAGGGGGGAAGAACTAAAAAGACACTTCTTAAAGAGGACATGCAATTGATTTTTGTTATTTTTAAAAAGTATGGAGAAACTTGTCTAATAAACAAAAACACGTGATTAAAAAAAAAAGAAACGGAGGAAAATTCAGTAGAAACTGAAATGCCATTTATACTATAGCACTGAAACAAAAGAATTGTTTGGTCCTTCCTTTAAGATTAACTCAGCAATTAGCCGACCAGTCCAGTATTTCAGACGCATTTCAGCACCGAACGCACAGTCCCAAGCAGGGTATCTCCTGTGCAGAATGCGCGCAGTCCCCTGGCGGGCTCGCGGGCTCAGCAGGTGCACCTGGGCCTCACCGGGTACTTGTCTACGCTGGGCTGCCCCTTACCCGCTTCCGGGACTCTTCAATGGCAGACAGCAAGGCGTTGTCCTTCTCATTCTTCAGGAAGCCCTATGAAAGGGGAAAGAGAGAGAAGAACGATTTAATTTAGGTTAAAATGAACCTTCCAATAATCAAAAGTATACCACTGGGGGGAAAACTAACCCTAGGCCACCTGCTACCCTGCCCGCCTTTACCCACACAAAGCTCACTTTGGAAACAGCCAAGTAGATGGCTTCAACAGATACCTTCTCGTTCCTTACATTCCGGGAACACAAGATGGCTGTCTGAGGTAAAGCAGTGGTGTGAGACTCAGTCCCGTACACATGTGAGCTGTCAACATCGAGACAGCCCTTCTCCCGCGCAGCCCGTGTTACCGCTCCGCTCTGGCTGTGCAGCCGCTTGACGCTACTGGGCTGCTCCTTATTTAGTCTGTTTCATTCACTACATGCTTCAATTTCTTCCTAATGTTGAGGAAACTGTGGTCATCCACTTGTCTGAGTGTTTTTCACTTGTTTGCCTTTGGCTGGGAACCCTAAAGATCATTTATTGATGCGTTTTTTCTGGTTTCCCACATGCATTCCCTGTCTCAGGCCTGCTGGCACCTGCTGCTTGCTTCAAGTACGCAGGGTGAAGAGGAGGCAGTCTGCAAGTCTGGCTGAGTGCGCGCCAGTTAAATGCCTGTAAATGCGCCTACACAATTAACATAATGACAGGTCTAGTTTCAAGGGCTGGTGCCTCCATTTAGCCAAGTCACCCAAACGCTATACACCTTAGCTTACTCATCTGCAAGATGAATATCAGAGGAGATAATGTAATCAAGCTGTTGGCCCAAGGTTCAATGCCAGCAGCTTTCAGAATGGATGAGATTTAACTCTGTTGGTGACATAAAGAGAGGCCCAGGGTGACCTTGCTGTGACCCGCAGCTCTGGCTGAGGTCTTGGGCAAGAGGTAAGGGCAGTGTCCCAACAGCGTCCTGAATGGCAGCTGCCCAGTGGGATTCCGTGTCTGCCTCTGTGCCAACACCCTGCCCTTCACACAGGATGGGCCGCAGCTTGGGGGACAGGGGTTGGGTAGGAACAAGAAAGTATCCACCAACCAGGAGGCAGAGACCTAAGTCTAAGTTGTGATAGGAAAGCGCTCAAGCCAGCCCACAGCTAACCTACAAGCTATGTGCATGGCATGCAACCTATTGCTGCATTTATACAAGTTCAAAATGACCTGGCTTTTGTTTTTTTTTCCCTGAATCATGCCTTGGCTTTTTTTTTTTTTTTTAAAGGAACTCTTTCATGGGGATATAATACAAAGTAGAATTAAGCTAAAGCTTTTAAAATGCTATGTTAATCTGAAATTTACTGTCATGGTTGCTGGTTCTTAAAAGAGAAAACTGGGTGTGGGGGTCACAGAGACGGGTGATACAAATTTAAATGAAATGTTACTAATCTCACGAGTTCCCCATGTCCTTCACATACGGCCAAGATTTCTCTACACCTGCTGTCACATGCCAACCTGGGCAGTGCACTGGGATGAGCAGGGACAATGTCCAGTGGTCAGAATAGTTCCCAGGCAGGCTCCTCCAGGGCAATCAATCCCTGTGGTAACCCTCAGGCAGCCTTGAAAGCACGAAAGATTTCTCCAGAAGTCTACAGGATAATTGGGGGGTGGGGTGGGATGGGGTACGGAGAGGCACTGGCCATTGCAGGACTCGGCAATGGCACCCCAGAGCTGGAATGCCGTGTGACCCACTCACAAAGGCACAGGACAGCTGGTCACTACATGCCTGCTCCAAGCCATCACACGGGACGGACACAGACGATGGCACAGACATCGATGGACCTTGCTTATACCCTCCCCAGCAAAGGATCATCTCGAGTCCACAAACTCCCTCTCGTGACGGGTCTTCACCAACTACAGCTAAAGGCTTTAGTATTACAGCTTATAAGTAAAGTGACAGAAATCTTATCTTTGATTATTGTTCCTGAAAAAGGAATAGGCATAGTTTCTGCATGCTACACCTTTTTGTGGTCATGGCTACAGGGAGCTGATGATTAAGCAAGTTGTTTTGAGGAGGGTGTGGAAACCACAGTCGGTGAAGATCCAATGTTTTATCTCTTGGGCTAGATGGGAGGACCTATGCTAAAAGCCTCCTTCCATCTCTGCGTTTCTCCTGTTCTTCCAGCCAACGACCAGCCTATCCCATTTTTTAAACTATTCCTATGTCTCTCTGAACTACACACACACAACTAAAACACAAATGCAACAGATACAATTGTTTAAAGCAACAGGATATTCCGTAAGAAATACAATGCGACATAAGTGACAGGATATTCCGTAAGAAATATAAGAAATACAATGCAATGCGACACAATATTCCGTAAGAAATACAATCTACAAATTTCTAAGGGATGAAATGTCAAGTAATGGGTAAAAAAGAAGAAAAAAGATACTCTTTGGGGCAGCTGACTCTCTTTAAAATATTTTCTACAAAGCTGCATTCCAAAAATACTGCCTCATAAATTAACAAAGCATATGTGCATGAGAATTAAATGTCAGACCTTATCCACATACAGAGACCACCAGCCGTCGTGGGCCTCAACAACTGGGCTTTTCCTATGGCACAAACAGCCCACAAACACACAGGCTTTGAATTTTAGCTTATTCTTCATTCCTTTATAAAATGAAACACAAAATAGGTTACATGTCAAATGCTATTTTTAAAAACAACACATTAGTGACTTGCCTTTTGAAAAAATCTTAAAATACAGTGCACAATGGGACTGCCTAGGGCCGTGCGCCATCTAGTGGTGGTTCGTTCTGTCAAAGAACACACTGGCAAGGGGAAAAGAGGCTGCAGGAGCACACCTGCCTCCACCCAGCGGCCTTTTGGCCTTTTTTCCTTTTCCAGGAGCAAGTTTCCTGCCAGCTCTCATTTTGAGGCACATCTGGTGCCCCCCACCCCAGTGATGCACTGGCAAGTCTTCATGAAAATGGATTTCTGCAGAGGTGAGCTGGAGCACGACTTCATGAAGGTGACTCCTCTCCTGCGGCGGGTGCCCTGCGTCACTGAGGATGCCATAAGGGGGCCAGCAGCTGACTTCCCACCCACCTGCTAGTTGCGACCCTCAGAATTCCTTTCCACTAACACCCCCTCATCTTGCCTACAAACACTTCTTAAGGGCCCAGAGTCCCCGCCCAGCTCTTCCAGTGCTGACCCATTCAATAAAGAACATTCCATAAGCACCCACAGGCCTGCTAAACAAGCTAACTTCCCCATCTGTAAACAACATTTTGCTGCCAGTGCCCAGCAAACAGACCTCTTCTGGGGGCACCTTGAGTGGGCTCTGGCTTCAAGCTTTCTACAGCGTAACAGCTCCCATTTAGGAAGCAAGTAAGGGCCAAACACTGCTCTGAGCAATTCAACGACAACACTGCTGATCTTTTAACGATATGAAACAGCATGATTACCCCATCTCCCCCCAACCACTTCTGCCCCATTTTACAGATAAGAAACAAATTTGACATTTAAACTGGACTCGGTGTTCCCAACTAGGAAGAGGCAGTGAGAGGTTTCAAACACAGATGTGTCAAGAGGCCAACTGTTTCTCAGATACCTGGGGAACAATAAACTAAATTGAGAAAATGACCAACTCCTTTTTTTCTCTAAAAAGATGGAGCCCGGGACAAACTGTACGGGTGCTGGTTCCCCTTGCAGATGACAAAGTCGAAGGTCCAGAGAACACTACTTGCCACGTGAGTACAAACACGTGTTAGTCCTTAGCAGACGTGGTGTTTGCTCTGTGCCAGTCAAGACTCGCATCTGACTAGTCCTGACTTTTAGCCAATGCTGAACTATCTCTCAGTACTGAGTGCATCCCACCTTAAGCAGATTTTCAATACAGGTTTAGAACGTGAGAGGGCTGTGTAAGACGGCTTCTATGGCACCACCAATCTGAAATGTTGTGGTTCCACATTAAGTTCACCAGGCTCCTACAAAGTAGAATCCACAGCTCTGACCCCTCGTCTGTCTTCTTCCTCTCCACCTAGTGCCTTTCATCGCATTACATCATGCTTATATATTTATTCTTTTCTCCATTTCACAGAGGAAGAAACAATAGATGTCAAACGTTCCGCATACCCTTAGAACAGCATTTTTCTCAATGTGGATCAGAACCCAGAACTGGGTAATCAAATCAACCAGCATTTTTTTTTTTAATGAAATAAAGTGCAACAGGCCCATGGATGAGTATTGTTTTGCGACTCTCCTCATTCAGCTGTATGTATTTTGCACAGATGACGTGGGTCACAATGTAAAATATATTTCTTACCAAAGGCCCAATGTAAGGAAATCTCAGCTGGAAATCACAGCTCTAGACGTCAATTCTATAGTGTTTCAAAATTATCACTACTGACTGCTATGGACAGTAGACACCATGTATCTGCCCACGCCACATCGCTAGCCATGTGGTCCACCTTTTACAGAGGGAGGGAGCTCCTGGGCGGCGGGAACAACCGCGGTCACGTGACCCAGCCAAAGCTCCCATCAAGCTCGTGGTCACCTGTGAGGGGCCCGGGCCCTTGGAGGGCTGGCTGGGAGTGACAGTCATGAAGCTGCCTGGTTTTCAATCACCACGCAGACACTGGGTTTCATTCAGTACACTGGCTGGAGAAAAAACTCCTACTGTAGAAAAAGTGAGTGGGCAAAAGAATGTTTGTTTTTGTCAAATGGCCAAATTGTCTTAGCTTATTTGCTTTCTGAAAGTGAAAACTGTAAGAAATAATGGTCTCTGTGAGAAAAATCGCAGTATCCACAGGAAAGTAAGACAGCAAAAGAGAGAGTGAGAGAAGGAACTTACATTTATCCTTTCACAGTTCTTTGCTACCCACATAGAATAAATAAGTGATGTGAAGGGCAGTTACATAAATGGCTTGAAATAAGGAGTATGCATACTTCCTGAACATTAAACAATGAAACAAAACAAGATAAACTCATGTGAACATCAAACAGCTGCATTTTCATGGTCCTAAAAACAAGATGGTTTCCATGTCTATTTCTCTTCAACTGAACATCTACC